TTCACAATCACAGTTTTTAGATTGTAATTTATTGACTACATATAAAAAAAAAATCCTTAGTCAAAAATGAAATTGAATAAATAGGTGGAACTCTGGCTGGTTAAGGACTTAATGCATTCTTATTAGTAATATAAAAAATTAAAAAATATAAAAAAGACAAATACTGTAACATACATTATTTATGAATGTTACAGTAAAGACCAATTTCTGTAAAAGCAGATAAAAAAAGAAAAACATATGTATTCATTAAAAACTCACAAATCAGCCTGTAGTAGTTAATCTACTAGTTCATGTAGTAGTCATCATTCTTTATATTGTCTGAGTTTTGTGCAGGTTTGTGGCTTCAGTAAAAGCTATTGTTCGTTTACAGCTGGTCTGGATATTTGTTGACGGTCCCTAAGTGCTTTTCTCGGCGCTTGCAGTGCATTGGATTCAGAGGATTTCTCTGCATTAAAACAGCGCATTGAATTTGTAAAACATAGAGATGATCATTTTAGCACAATTACTTTTGTTTAACAAAGTAGCTTTCGTGAGCTATTGACCGCGGAAGTAGTGATGGGTCGTGCCGCGTCGGCGCTTCGGGGCGTGAGCCGAGAAATCCCTGAAGTTTCTATCGGAGCGCGGGCCGAAGCTTGAGTTGTTTTAGATGAGTGACGTCACTAATGACGTTTGAAGCCTCGGGAGCACAGGAAATGGAGCAATTCATGAAGTACTGCAGAAGATCCGCTCAAACTGTGTGTTTGTTTTGGTGATTAATGTACTCAGTGATGGAGAGGCTTGTGGACAAGCTGGTTGGCTCAGTCGATAGGGAAGCAGGGCTGGGACCTGGGAGACCGGGGTTCGAATCTCACCGGGAGTGCGTCGATGTAAATACACGAGAAAGAATTTTGTCAGAAATGTTTTGGTTTTAAACAACTGATGGAGTCACAATCCCAAATGATATCCCCATTTGTGTCACGTCCTTTGAAAAGCACTTACACTTTCAACATGTTTGTTGTCCTATTGGATTTATAACATTGATTTTGACTTGAAAAGCTATAATCATTCATCATTAAATATGTATATAAATATATATCTACATATATGTATGTGTGTGTGTGTGTGTGTGTATTGATCATAATGAAACAGATAAATTAATGGGTCATACACAATCAAATTACATTTTTATTTCTGTTACCAGTATTAATTCCTATGCGCAAGAGCCTCACAAACAGTTCAATTGTCAATACAGATTTTGACCAACAGGAGGTTTGTGAGCATATGAAGCATCAAGAAATTAACCTTTTCTCGAACCAATGGATGAAAAGGTTCAACACTTCATGAAGCTTCATCAACCCATCACTACGCGGAAGTCCGAATTTGGGAAAATGACGCTACTTTACCAAAGTTCTGACGTGATGGTGCTGCGGGCACGGCCCACGCTGGCGCCTGTCAACATTAAACCAACGTCTGAGATCAAGCCTACGCCCCTTTGACACTGATTGGCCGAAAGGTAGATGCTTCAACTGTGATCATTACTGTGTGTGTGTGACATGCAGTGAGTGAGTGATGCATTTGAGGTGGCTTTGAAAATACGGGACAAAAGCCGTCCCGTATCAGTTCAATACGGGACGCACATAGTTTTTCTATAATACGGGACAATTCCGTATTTCAAGGGACGGTTGGCAACCCTAAGGACGACTGATGTGTGTGACCAGGACGACTGATGTGTGTGACCAGGACGACTGATGTGTGTGACCAGGACGACTGATGTGTGTGACCAGGACGACTGATGTGTGTGACCAGGACGACTGATGTGTGTGACCAGGACGACTGAGGTGTGTGACCAGGACGACTGATGTGTGTGACCAGGACGACTGAGGTGTGTGACCAGGACGACTGATGTGTGTGACCAGGACGACTGAGGTGTGTGACCAGGACGACTGATGTGTGTGACCAGGACGACTGATGTGTGTGACCAGGACGACTGATGTGTGTGACCAGGACGACTGATGTGTGTGACCAGGACGACTGATGTGTGTGACCAGGACGACTGATGTGTGTGACCAGGACGACTGATGTGTGTGACGGACTGATGTGTGTGACCAGGACGACTGATGTGTGTGACCAGGACGACTGATGTGTGTGACCAGGACGACTGATGTGTGTGACCAGGACGACTGATGTGTGTGACCAGGACGACTGATGTGTGTGACCAGGACGACTGATGTGTGTGACCAGGACGACTGAGGTGTGTGACCAGGACGACTGATGTGTGTGACTGATGTGTGTGACCAGGACGACTGATGTGTGTGACCAGGACGACTGATGTGTGTGACCAGGACGACTGAGGTGTGTGACCAGGACGACTGATGTGTGTGACCAGGACGACTGAGGTGTGTGACCAGGACGACTGATGTGTGTGACCAGGACGACTGAGGTGTGTGACCAGGACGACTGATGTGTGTGACCAGGACGACTGATGTGTGTGACCAGGACGACTGATGTGTGTGACCAGGACGACTGAGGTGTGTGACCAGGACGACTGATGTGTGTGACCAGGACGACTGAGGTGTGTGACCAGGACGACTGATGTGTGTGACCAGGACGACTGATGTGTGTGACCAGGACGACTGAGGTGTGTGACCAGGACGACTGATGTGTGTGACCAGGACGACTGAGGTGTGTGACCAGGACGACTGATGTGTGTGACCAGGACGACTGAGGTGTGTGACCAGGACGACTGATGTGTGTGACCAGGACGACTGAGGTGTGTGACCAGGACGACTGATGTGTGTGACCAGGACGACTGATGTGTGTGACCAGGACGACTGATGTGTGTGACCAGGACGACTGATGTGTGTGACCAGGACGACTGATGTGTGTGACCAGGACGACTGATGTGTGTGACCAGGACGACTGAGGTGTGTGACCAGGACGACTGATGTGTGTGACCAGGACGACTGATGTGTGTGACCAGGACGACTGAGGTGTGTGACCAGGACGACTGAGGTGTGTGACCAGGACGACTGATGTGTGTGACCAGGACGACTGAGGTGTGTGACCAGGACGACTGATGTGTGTGACCAGGACGACTGATGTGTGTGACCAGGACGACTGATGTGTGTGACCAGGACGACTGATGTGTGTGACCAGGACGACTGAGGTGTGTGACCAGGACGACTGATGTGTGTGACCAGGACGACTGAGGTGTGTGACCAGGACGACTGATGTGTGTGACCAGGACGACTGAGGTGTGTGACCAGGACGACTGATGTGTGTGACCAGGACGACTGAGGTGTGTGACCAGGACGACTGATGTGTGTGACCAGGACGACTGAGGTGTGTGACCAGGACGACTGATGTGTGTGACCAGGACGACTGAGGTGTGTGACCAGGACGACTGATGTGTGTGACCAGGACGACTGAGGTGTGTGACCAGGACGACTGATGTGTGTGACCAGGACGACTGAGGTGTGTGACCAGGACGACTGATGTGTGTGACCAGGACGACTGAGGTGTGTGACCAGGACGACTGATGTGTGTGACCAGGACGACTGATGTGTGTGACCAGGACGACTGATGTGTGTGACCAGGACGACTGATGTGTGTGACCAGGACGACTGATGTGTGTGACCAGGACGACTGATGTGTGTGACCAGGACGACTGATGTGTGTGACCAGGACGACTGAGGTGTGTGACCAGGACGACTGATGTGTGTGACCAGGACGACTGATGTGTGTGACCAGGACGACTGATGTGTGTGACCAGGACGACTGAGGTGTGTGACCAGGACGACTGATGTGTGTGACCAGGACGACTGAGGTGTGTGACCAGGACGACTGATGTGTGTGACCAGGACGACTGATGTGTGTGACCAGGACGACTGATGTGTGTGACCAGGACGACTGATGTGTGTGACCAGGACGACTGATGTGTGTGACCAGGACGACTGAGGTGTGTGACCAGGACGACTGATGTGTGTGACCAGGACGACTGATGTGTGTGACCAGGACGACTGATGTGTGTGACCAGGACGACTGATGTGTGTGATCAGGACGACTGATGTGTGTGATCAGGACGACTGATGTGTGTGAACTATGTATGATTAGAAATGTACTGAATGTGTGAATGTATCATCTGAATGTGTGGTTGTGACGTGTGTATAGTGTGGTTGTGACATGTGTATTGTGTGGTTGTGACGTGTGTATTGTGTAGGTGTGATGCTGTGAATGAAGTGTGGTTTTAACAAACAGGTATGAGGCTAAATGTGTGTGTCTGTATTAGAGAGAATGTGTTGTATTGCAATGTTATTCTTTTAGGATTGTACATGACTGTATCTATGCATTTTATTGATGTAACCAGGGACTGCAGATGGAAACAGCTGTTTAGCTTTAATCTGGTGCAGAACATATCTGTCTTTGAGCTTAATGTCTCTGTGCACTGTCCCTTCAAATAAAGACTAAACTAAACTAAACTAAACTATATGTTGGCTATATTATAATTCATAAAATGACTTATTTTATATCAACATTAAAGACCAGGAGGTCAATTTGATACAATTCTTAAAATGTGTAATTCATTCAGAGTTCCAGACTATCACTTTAAAAGTTTGAATAAAAAAAAAAGAATACATGCTTAGAATTGGAGAAAGCATAATGTTAATTATGGGTAAATACCACTTACAGAGTAACGAATGGCAAAATAAAATTATTTCCCTGAAAAAATATAACATTTAATTCCAAGTCTGTTTTGCTTCCCTGTCATTATTAAAGACCTCATCTAAAGATATTGGAAATATATTTGTTGATGTCACAAAATATGTCTTGTTTGTTACTGAACGTATGTTGTTTTCTTTTGCTTGTTTGTTATTTTATTTTTGTAATACTTTGAACAAAATTACCGTCTCCTAACGAGAGTTCTGTATATTTGTATGTATATGTAATTTAATTTAAAAAAAGATGAACAACCTGCGGATTTGGGCAGTTACTGAGATCAACCTGAGGGGCAGCAGTGCGCCATGAGGCCAAGGCCTCTGCAAAACAAACAACAACAGAAGAAGAAGAAGCGCGGCGCTCTGCGCATGCTCCGCAGCACCAGGAAGTGCAGCGGAAGTCCCCGGATCAAATTCAAAACAAATGCGTCTGCTGTAGATCAGAGACATTTAAAGATTTATACAGACATATATTTTAGACATATAAAGATTTATATGTCTTTGCTGCAGATCACCTTCATCTAACACTTCCTCCTCTTGGACTGTGTCAGATCAAAGGTAAGTGCTCTGAATAATCATCTGAATAATCATCTGAATAATCATCTGAATAATCATCTGAATAATCATCTGAATAATCATCTGAATAATCATCTGAATAATCATCTGAATAATCATCTGAATAATCATCTGAATAATCATCTGAATAATCATCTGAATAATCATCTGAATAATCATCTGAATGATAGATTGTGAACACATCCTGTGTTTCTTTTGTCACTAAACAACAGCCTTTACGTGTCATATGAACGTAAACTAAACAAACTATATCCTGTGTAAACACTTGAAAGGTCCTACTTTATAATAATATATGTTTATAAGTAAAGGTTCTGTCAGACCCTGTACTCTGCTCATGTTTGATTAAACCGCTGCTGTTTCCAAACTACTGCCATTTAAATCCGTGGTAACGTTCAATAAACAAAGAAATAACATAGAATCATTCACTAATGTCTCAGGTTAGTTTGTGAAAGGTGCAGAAACCTGCGGAGACTGATGAAGCTGCTCCAAATAAACCTGCTCTCAAACAACTTTCATTGATCAGTTCAACACAGCATCTAAACAGACTCCAGCTTTATCTGCTTTGTTCTTTATATATTGTATATTAACAGATGTGTACTATCCTATTATCTCTGTATTTTATACTGTAAATGTGCACATATTCACAGATATGTATATTCTGAGTACCTATATCCAGACTATTCTATTCTCACAATATTATTATTATTATTTTCAGATTGTTACTTTAATGTTATATATACTATGCAAGCTACTGTGACAACGCAATTTCCCTTCCCAGACTTAAAGTCTGTTTAAGTCTAGTCTATTACTAATACCCTGTGTGTTCTAGTTTTACATTTGGACATAGTTAATGAAAATGACATCGACTGTGGTGCAACCTGTAATCTTAAACACTGCAATATTGTTTTCCCTCCAATCCCTGCGTGGGGAATTCTGATCTCGGTAGACCTTGGAAGAAAAAAATAACAATTGTAAACCGCTTTGTGACTCTGGTCTGTGAAAGGCGGTATATGAATAAGGATTACTCACTTACTTACCTAAGCAGGGCAGGGCCTGGTTAGAACTATGAAGAGGGTCCACTGCCAGTAAGGCCTTCTCTGCTGGCCTAAACATAATCAGGAATATTTATTTTTTTATATATATTTTCCTCAAATTTGTATTAAATTATTTCCCATAGTTTATACTGTTCATTTCCTGTTTCCAGGACGAGATTTGGAGGAAGACGTTTATCTTAAAGTTCTTATCCGATCATTATTCAGAATCATGTGTTGCTTGGGTCCAAAATCTACTTTTAGAGAGACCGGCCGAGCCCGACACGGCAAACTTAACGCAGCAGGAGAAAGAATGTATCCGCCACTAAGAATGGTCTCCCTGGTTCTGAGACACATTTCAAACTGCAATAGTTCGTCTGATTGATTTGATTTGACAGTGCTCTGGTGTTTGGTGAACAAACTTGTTGAATCTCATACTGTTGGTGGAATGTATAAAGCTCAGTATCTGTGGTACTTGACTATTTGTTAAGGAGATGTAACACTGGTTCTACTGCACTTTGATCTAATTACAGAATGTGTAGAGCCACAGCATCATAATTAGAGGTGGATGTATCGCTGCAGGAACAGGTCTGAAATGCACAGCCCACCACTCTGTACAGAGTGAATGAATAATTCCATGTTGTGATGTTGTTACTACATTTCAAACTTGATTTTGATACTGGACAAAATACTTGATACTTTATACCAATATTGTTACCTCAGCAATTTAAAAAAAATATAATTAGCATCTAGTTTCAGTACTCAATACTGCAGACTTGTAAGAACCCTAATGCCATGTGAAAAATCTTTTGAGGATCCAGAAAAGCACTTTGCAAATGTTGTGGGCATTTTTACTCACTCCACACAGTTATTATGTGTTTTTAGTGGTAGAAAAAACGGGATCACTTGGAGGATATATGGAGAGCATGCAAACATTCAAGACCACATTCGGACCTTCTTTCTGTGAAGCACAATTGCAAAATTTGCTTCTTATTATGAACACATAGTGACACAAAAGGTTTCCATTGATGCATGAGGTGTGTGTGGCTTCTCTTCCAGAAGCCAAGGGTCCATGGAGACTCCGGAGCCGGGCCCTGCGAATGGGGAGGAGCATGTGGTGGAGCTGCGTCCCAGGACTCGCTCAAATCCCGAGGGAGCAGAAGACAGACGGGGCAGCACGGGCAGCCTGGGGGGCAGCATAACCCAGCCCGCAGTGGGGAGTCGCGTGGAAGGGGAGGGGGAGGCGTCCACCAGCGACAGCCCGCCCGCCTCAGTGTCAGTCACCATGGCTGCCCAGACGGGACCCCCCAGTGTGGCTGGGACCAGCGCTGCAGGTCAGGAGCGTGACTTTGACTTTTTAAGCATGTTTCAACAATGTTCCTAGCAAAAAACTGACCTAAAGATGCCTTATGTACTACTACATTTACATCTGTGAAGTGTCAGTCAGCTCAGATCAAATTTACCATAGGAGTTTTTAAGAAGCCGAATGTCAAGAGTTTGGATACTTCTATCCACAGAAGTTTTGGCTGAAAGTATTCCGCACGTCCTCCTCTGTTTTACGCAGAAGTCATTGGGCTCAGCTGAACAGAGCGTGACGTGGAGCCGCTCCTGTTCCTCTTAACACATGCCCTAACTGCCGTCTTTGTGTCCACTTATCGACGTCAACAAAAACACCAGACGACACTAAAGTTGACGTTCCATTTCTTTATCCATATTTTTTTTCTTTTATCAATTCTAAAACATAAATAATTTAGTCAGTGAGACTGGTTTTTTCAGGTGAATTATCTTGTTTACTTGTGTAGATGGAAAAGAAGTGGAGACTGAGAGTCCAGAGAGTCAGACCAGACCAGACCAGACCAGACTAAACCAATGACAAGAGGGCTACATACGTGCGTAAAATGTTGTGAATCCTTTGAAGGCACACGAAGGCTGGGAACAGTCAAACGTCTACAATGTCGGGGGCCAGTTCAGCCTGGAACATTAGGGCCAACAGAAATTAGATTAGGGGCCTTATTTTGTCCCCAGGCCACAGTTTGGAGAGTCCTACCATGAAGTAATCTAGTAATCTTTATAATAGTGCATTTCACAGACCAATGTCGCCCAAAGCGCTTTAGTTCAGATATTTTTCCATTCTCTCCACACACGATGACAGAAGCGAGACGCCAAACACACTGGTGCATCAAAGCCCCCAGTCAACACCATCCATTCACCCATAAACCTACGCAGACACGAGGAGAACATGCAAACTCCATCACCTGGAGGTGGTATCGAACCCATGACCTTCTTGCTGTGTAACACAAGCTCTAACCTCTCTGCCACAAACAACACATTTGTCCACGTGTCTTCACATGAATAAAGCATAGTCCACTTAAGCTCTTTGGAAGTGTCTGAATGATTCTAGGAATGTTTCAGTTCATTCAGTTCATTTTACAATAACTAGAATCATTTATTTTTATTATTAAATAATCTGTTGAAAATGCTCAGGGTCAGTGTCCAGTCCTAACGGTGCCACTGCTGCTGTGGTTAAGGAGCGGCCCAAACCCCCCCAGAGCAAGACCGCCCTGGGCCCTGTCCTCCCCCCCCCTGCAGAGCACCAGCTCAGGGTGCCCCGGGTCAACTGTCCAGAGAAAGTGGTACGTTTTAGTTTAGTACTACTTACTACTACTTACTACATACACATTACATACAGATGTTCAGAACAGTATTCACACGACACAATAGTAATGTCACAGAGACAGGGTTAGGGCTGCTTTAGCTCTCAGTATTAGCTCTCTTTAGCTCTCAGTATTAGCTCTCTTTAGCTCTCAGTATTAGCTCTCTTTAGCTCTCAGTATTAGCTCTCTTTAGCTCTCAGTATTAGTCTTTAGCTCTCAGTATTAGCTCTCTTTAGCTCTCAGTATTAGCTCTCTTTAGCTCTCAGTATTAGCTCTCTTTAGCTTTCAGTATTAGCTCTCTTTAGGTCTCAGTATTAGTCTTTAACTCTCAGTATTAGTCTTTAGGTCTCAGTATTAGTCTTTAGCTCTCAGTATTAGTCTTTAAGTCTGAGTATTAGTCTTTAGGTCTCAGTATTAGTCTTTAACTCTCAGTATTAGTCTTTAGGTCTCAGTATTAGTCTTTAAGTCTGAGTATTAGTCTTTAGGTCTCAGTATTAGTCTTTAGCTCTCAGTATTAGTCTTTAGGTCTCAGTATTAGTCTTTAGGTCTCAGTATTAGTCTTTAACTCTCAGTATTAGTCTTTAGGTCTCAGTATTAGTCTTTAGGTCTCAGTATTAGTCTTTAGCTCTCAGTATTAGTCTTTAGGTCTCAGTATTAGTCTTTAGGTCTCAGTATTAGTCTTTAACTCTCAGTATTAGTCTTTAGGTCTCAGTATTAGTCTTTAGGTCTCAGTATTAGTCTTTAACTCTCAGTATTAGTCTTTAGGTCTCAGTATTAGTCTTTAGCGCTCAGTATTAGTCTTTAGGTCTCAGTATTAGTCTTTAGGTCTCAGTATTAGTCTTTAACTCTCAGTATTAGTCTTTAGGTCTCAGTATTAGTCTTTAGCTCTCAGTATTAGTCTTTAGCTCTCAGTATTAGTCTTTAGGTCTCAGTATTAGTCTTTAACTCTCAGTATTAGTCTTTAGGTCTCAGTATTAGTCTTTAGGTCTCAGTATTAGTCTTGAGACAATAGCGCCTCCCAGAGGCCGACCACTTCTGTTTGTTCATGGGAAGAAAATACAAGACATTCTTATGTTCGGCTTAAGAATGGATTTCCCATGCTAAAATAATACAAAAGCAAAAATATGAAACCAACACAAATAATATTAATCTGTTCTTTGAAGATCCATAGGTTTTTGTTTCTAACTTTTCAGTGTCTTGTTTTTTTGTAGATTATCTGCTTAGATTTGTCGGAGGAGATGTCCGTGCCAAAGCTGGAGTCCTTTAATGGGTACGCAGACACGTTCCTACAGTGAGACCTGTCTGTGAGTAATGATGTCTCTCTTCAGGGCCAAAACAAACGCCTTGAACATTTCTCAGAAGATGATCGAAATGTTTGTCCGGACAAAGCACAAGATCGACAAGCGGCACGAGTTTGCTCTGGTGGTGGTGAACGACGACGCCTTGTGGGTGAGTCTTACACATGTCTCCTTTAAATGCACAGTATATTTTAGATAACAGTACGTTTGTGCTCAGCTGTCTGGCTTCACCTCAGACCCCAGAGAGCTGTGCAGCTGTCTGTACGACCTGGAGACCAACGTGTGCGAGGCCTTCAGTATCCTTTCATCATTCTTTAAAACCATCAAGCAAACTGATGAAACATTCCTATAATATCTAAAACTCAATATTTCATTACACTTCCAGTCTCTCTTCTTTAAAATATCTGAAAAAATATTGTAACAATTCAGAGTCTGTTTTAGGACATTTTGGAAAATAAACAATGGACTGGCTTTGTGATCCATATCTCAGCTTTCAGATTCTCGAAGCTGGACTTTTGAAATGTAAAAGCCTCTTCTGCTCTATCCCTGTTTGAGTGAAATATCACCACCAACTTTAGTGTTGCACTGGTGCGCTGACGTTTTAGTGCTCGCTGTTGCCCATGTCGCCCACCCCTAATATATATAGATTTATCTATATATGTCAGTCTATAATCTCAAAATAAATGTATTTCAGTGGAACAACAGCAGGCGCACCAGTAGAACCTCTGTTTCAGTGGCTCTTAATAATGTACTCTGAGCACTAATGCATTCTGAAATACCTTCAGTTCAACCTTAACATGTGCTTCAGATCTTGAAGATCTGTGTAATGTTATGTAAGTATTCACATTCAATATTCATAATTTTGTCCATATTTCAGAGATTATGAATCAATCCTCGACCACCTGTGAATAAACTACTCACATTTCAACAACATAATCTCTTTAATACATGTTGTCAGCCGCTGGTTCAAAACTACAGGTTATCTGGACATCAGCACAAACAGACAAGTTACAGACTACAGTCTAGTCTGGGTCTCTGCTGGATGTAGCAGCAGAGTGACAAAGAATGGACCAAAGAGCTCTCGTCTTATACCATGATAATTTGAAACACATGTGACCATATGTCCCACCATCCTTAGGTGAAGACAATACCTTCTCTGTTTCAGGACAAACAAATAGCCCCTGTGTAAATAAGCCTGAGGCTACTCTAAACAGATGTTTTCTGCACTCTTCTTAATTTAACTTCCTGTGTTTCATGACTTGGTGATGATTCCATACATTCTTGCCTGGGGGCTGGGAGAGAATTCTCCATCCCACCACACAGTAGCTATCTAAACCTTGAATATATTCTAATTCACTTTAATGAAAATCCAACAACTCTACTAACATTCCCTCCTTTTTTTCATTAAAAGAATTAATCACATTCAATGTTTAGTAAACCAACTTAAAGATGGAACACAATGAAATTAATACAAACACAGTATTACATTTGAATCCAAGTTGCATCGACTCAACTTAGAGACCCCTCTTCACATGTGTCTTATAAAAATCACATTGGTTACAGAAACACACAGAGAAAAGAACTCAAAAAAAAGTTTTTTAGAGATCATTTCATATTCATATGTAATTGCTCCCCCATAAACCATATCTCCCCCCTGTTTGAGACATTAAAATGGCTCAATAACTAAACATAATTCCTAATTATTCATGTGTATGAAATGAAAAAGACACAAATACCCAATTTACTCATGTAAATTAATGTAGCATCAAAATGTATAAACTAAACGTTCATTTGAAATGTATTAAACTGGAATGTTTTAACCTGAAATATTTTCACCTGAAATGTATTAACTTGAAATGTGTCAACAAATTACACCCCACACCAAAAAGCCTATTGTCCAGTAACGCCTGTTGTAGAAACGCCTCCACACCCCAATGTCTTCTGCAGCCAGCAACGTCCAGCACCATCCAGCACAGCCCCATCATGTCCAGAAGCCTCTGTCCTGTTCACACACTTTAGAACCGACAGCAAAAACTGGAAACCTCCAGTCCTTAGATCTTTGCACAAAGGTGATGTCTTCGGTCAACCCAGTCTTTCAGATTTTTTGGAAATCTGCAAAATGTCCCAAACACACACAGAGTCAAGTTGTTGATTTGAGTCTGACCTCTGGATGACCCTTTGCATCATTGCTTCTGTCGTTGCAGCATTTAGCCCTGGTTTGGCCTGCTGGTTTGGCTTGGTTTGGCTTGGTTTGGCCTGGTTTGGCCTGCTTTGGCCTGCTGGTTTGCTGGTTGATGATTGGTGGGGGTGGGAGTGAGCGTCTCCTTCACAGGAATGAACTCTGAGCTTTTGAGCATCAAAAGTGGTGTTTTAGGTGTTTCCCTCAAACAAAACACACAAAGTACACATTTGTTAATACATTTCAGACTTAGTTCAGTAAACCCCAAAAGAAAACCTTAGCAGTTAATGAAAACTGTTGCTGAAGACAGTCCTATTACTGTAATTTTCTTGTCTCAGAAATGAAAACATCACAATTAACTATTGAAATAATTCAGAATCAAACAGATTTACATTTCTTTGATGTAAACATTAAACATGCTACAGTAACTTCCCTTACTGTTGAATTTAAACCCTTCAAATGAAACTAAACATATTTATTATTCAAATCTGAAAAATTAAACTGCTTATTTTCAGAGTGTTTTCCACTTATCTGATTGTTCTGTGTCAGCATCAGTCAGAGAGGACTTCTTACGGGGGATTTACACAGTAGGCGTAAACAGCGCGTACGCGTTTACTGCGCGCTCTCTGCGCGTAACATTTTTTTGGAGTATCTACACTGACCGTGCGCGCAGGTCCGCGGCTTCTGATGCTCTCCCTGTGTAGTCTATGGAGCAGTGTAGAGGACAGTACGAGCCAGAGGACTGATGTAGAGCAACACAAATCACATGCATGTGTTTGTCTTCATGGTCTCTGTGCGCTGGTTTGTCCAGACGCGAGACTTTATGAAAGAAAAAAAACGATGTCCAGAATCACTGTAAAACCTGCTGCTCCTCCTGCTGATGTTTAGCCACAAGTGCAGTGTGCGTGCAGATGTGATCTAAAGCCAAGGACCGCTAGAAAAATAAAGTTTTACATGAGATTTCAATGGGAGACGCGTTGGTGCGCGCACAAAATTAGAAATCCATCCTAAATTAGAGCGCAGCTTCGCGTCACATGTCCGTCATACGCGCGTATAACGCTAGAAGTGTAAATATCATCATAGGTTAACATGGAAAAAAGTTACGCGCGTCTGCTGCGCGTATAACGCGTACGTGCTGTAACGCGTGATGTGTAAATTAGCAGTTAGGCGTCTGATTCGTCGTTCCCAACCACAGCACCTCTGCCGATGCTTCTCCCCCTCCTCCTGCTGCTCTTAGACCTGTCTCTCTGGTTGGAGTGAGGTGAAGCATGTGACCGATGCTGTGCCGGGAACAACCAAACACTGTCCCCCAGACGTCCCTCTCTCAGCTGAGACAGAAACAAACTCAGAAACAGAACAAAATATTAGTTGACAATTCTGTTGATTTTACCCTAATATTGTTTCATATTATTTGTGAAATAATATTTTAGTCCTGATGTTTATTCCCATTTTATAGTCCGTTAGTTCAGTCAGTTAAGTCCTAGACACAGAAGACAAACAAATACTACTCACATAAGAGGAAATGTTAGTCTGTTAAATCTTACACATAAAGACAGTTACTCACAAAACAAACAAAAACTCCAAATCAAACCCAAAAATTAACATAAAAGTCTACTTGTGTGCACAAAATACCATCTTTTGTGATCATAAGCAAACAAAAATCTGAGCTAACTTTGAGTCTTATTTATCATCAATCTAATTCAGCTTCAGCCTAATCCTTTTGAGCTTGTACCAAATGTTGTAACTTTAAAGTTGTCCAATCACAAACATTTCACAGCTCAAGTCAATTCAAATCTATCTATGATTCTCTAATCTCATTACCAAATGTTTTCACCAGTAAAATGTTTATCACTGGTTCCACCCCTTTTTAATTATTTTTGTTAATGTAGCTAGCATTAACAAAAGTAGTTAAACTATAACAAACTTACTACTCCACCCAACTAGAGTTGAGCAGACGGGAGGGACAGAATTGGGAGCAAGGGAGAAGGGGGATGAGGGGAAGAGGGGGAACAGGGAGGGAGGGGAAGAGGGGAAAAGGCAGAAGGGGACACAAAGGATGCACCTCAAACGTGCACGCACACACACACTCACACTTTAGGCCTTTATATCTAAATTTCAATTTCCAGTTTAAATTATTATTAGAAAAATTGTTGTCGTCTTATTATGCAGGCTACCACAAAGTTCTACCAAAAAGTCACTTATCAGCTGAAGAAAAAATCACCACTCTCAAAATGTTCCATTTTCCCTCAAATGGCCAGATCTGGTTTTCCAACTACACGTATGCGTCCATAGTGCTGAATTTGTAATAGCTCCTCGACTATTAGAAGGATAAGCCTCGTTATCCTAGGCCTAAGAAATAGCCCTCGACTATTAAAAGGATAAGCCTCGTTATCCCCGGCCTCTTTTTTTTGAGTCTTAGAAGTGCGTGATATCTCACTGCCCCAATGCTTTTGTGAGGAGATAAAATGGATTTCCTGCCTTCAAAGACGATTTAAATTTAGTTTCTTTTTTTTTTTTAGGAAAAAATAGTTTTTCCTTGTCCATGTGGATGTCCAGAAACTCTAGTTCTGCCGTCAACTTCAATCCGGAGACTGGCCATGCCTCAAAGATGGAGTCCTCAAAGCAGTTCTGAATGAAGAAGGTCTCACCGCTGCTCCAACTCCATGTTTGAGGCATCCTCAGCTCCGCAGAAAAGCATGTTGGCATCCGGCGCAAGAAGGACCAAAATATGTGAAAGAACTAGTCACATTTCAACAACATAATCTCTTTAATACATGTTGTCAGCCGCTGGTTCAAAACTACAGGTTATCTGGACATCAGCACAAACAGACAAGTTACAGACTACAGTCTAGTCTGGGTCTCTGCTGGATGTAGCAGCAGAGTGACAAAGAATGAACCAAAGAGCTCTCGTCTTATACCATGATAATTTGAAACACATGTGACCATATGTCCCACCATCCTTAGGTGAAGACAATACCTTCTCTGTTTCAGGACAAACAAATAGCCCCTGTGTAAATAAGCCTGAGGCTACTCTAAACAGATGTTTTCTGCACTCTTCTTAATTTAACTTCCTGTGTTTCATGACTTGGTGATGATTCCATACATTCTTGCCTGGGGGCTGGGAGAGAATTCTCCATCCCACCACACAGTAGCTATCTAAACCTTGAATATATTCTAATTCACTTTAATGAAAATCCAACAACTCTACTAACACCACCACAGAATACTACAGCTGTCATTGATGTGATTTAGGGCTTACACACGATGGGGGGCCAGGGGAGGGACATTTCTAACATTTATCATCTTTAATTTAACCCTTTTTGAACCAAGTACTCTACATCTTTGTGATTTCAGTCTCTTTGTTGCTTGGTCTGTGTAGGTTTGTGTCTTACTTAGAGATAAATGCTTCACGTGGTGTGTACACTGTGGAGCAGAGCTGCATCTCATGCTGTGAATTCTCATAGTGGCCAAAAGATGGAGTTGCCGCTGACGGAGAACGTGCAGACGGTCCCTCCGCCGTACGTGGTGCGCACGGTGCTGCTCTACAGCCGCCAGGCGGGATCCCTGCTCTTCAGCCCCTCAGAGAGAGTCAGCGTACGTGGCCTTTCCCTGACACACACACACACACACACACACTCTCACACACTCTCACACACTCACACACACTCACACACTCGCACACACTCACACTCTCACACACACTCACACACTCGCACACACTCTCGCACACTCACACTTTCAAGTCCCATTGTGTTGCTTGTTTGTGTAGAAGATGCTTCAGTCTCCATACTTCTTCTTTGACGTGGTTTACCTTCACAACGGCATGGACGAGCAGGGAGACGAGAGCAGCTGGAGGGTGAGAGGCTCATGTGTCCGTGGACTTTACACCTGATTATTCTCTTTTTGTCTCTCATAGTTGAGATATACCAATAGTAAAATATATATAACATTATATTAATATTAATATTGTATTAATATGCTACAATCAATCAAACTTTATTTATAAAGTGCTTTTCATACAGAAACTGCAACACAAAGTGCTTTACAGTTTAGATTAAAACAATCCCATATGCCCATGATCCAAAAGCACCAACCGAGGAGCCGTCTGCTGTTCTCTGCAGCCCTGAGCTCCTCCGGCAGACTGTTCAGAGACTGATGCCTCACCGTGAGTGTGGGCCCTGACTTTGGGAATGGTTAGGAGTCTGCTGTCGGAGGAGCGCAGGGGCCAGGAAGGTTCATGTGGTAACAGAAGTTCTGAGAGATAAGGCCCAAGACTATTTAGACATTTAAAAAACCTTAACATTGATTCTGAAACACAGGGAGCCAATGCAGATTTAAAAACCGGTGTAATGTGGTCCCGCCCCCTGGTCTAAGTCAGGACATGTGCTGCTGAGTTCTGTAGTCATTGTAAACCTGTTCTGTTTGGGACTTACTGTTCATCTCTGGTGTGTGTAGGAGAACTTCGCCTCCTTCTGTGCCTTGGACTCCAAAGGCATGTGCTATCATTACGAGGTGTCCTTGTGCGGAGCTGCCATCGAGCTTCACAACTGCATGGCCAAGTTGCTGTCCCACCCGCTGCAGAGGCCCTTTCAGAGCCACGCCTCCTACAGCCTACTGGAGGGGGACGAGCCGCAGGACCAGGAGGCCACGGTGTGAAGAGGTCCGTCGGTCCATCTCCACCACGGACGCTTCTGTGACCTGTACAGACATGTTACACAGAACGTCTTTCATGAGCTTTTAAACAGTGCTCCTCATCAGAACATACCTGTGGTTTTGGCTTCATTCATGCAAATATTGGGATCTTCTTGTATAAATTAGCACAAACATGAACCCTCACCCTCTGTCTATAATCTTGTTTTGTTAAGATAGATAATTCCTCAGACTACAACGTCCTGACAGTGCCTTCAATGATCAGATTGCTAGAGGTCAGTGTTGCTGCATTAATTATGTTTAGCTATATATTTCCTATTTTTTGTGTCTCTATTATGCTTTAGTATCTGACTCTTTATGACCGACCCCCAACAAACCATAATCTGTACCATAACCATACCAATCTGTACCAATCTGAACCATAATTCCAGCAGCTCTCAGGCCAATCACTGTCAGTTAGAACACTGAGGACCAGCCTAAACAGAACCAGAGCCAAGCAGACACTAAAAAGTAACTAGTACCGGTAAATAGGGAAGCGCTCCCAGTCAGGGTAGAGTAGGGTAGAGTAGGGTAGAGTAGGGCCAAGTAGGGCCGAGTCGGGCCAAGTCGGGCTGGTGGAAACAGGCGGAAGGTTCCCACTGAAGCCAGACCGATACATGGGCACTCAAACATGTGATGAAGACGATGATGAAGATGATGAGAGTTATAAGAGCTCATGAAAGTTCCCTGGAGAGACTAGAACACTCCAGTGAAATGTTTGGATAAAGCCGCTGTGAGGTTATTGGTTTTAACATGACAATAAATTTGAAATGCTTTACTCACTTTCCCCACACAAGTTTAATTTTTTTTCATATTTTTATTTCTTTGACTCAGATTTTTTTCTGTCAAATGTAAGTGTTCTGAGCAATGTTCTGCCTAATAAATACTACTAAATTCTTTTTATAATTCTAGTCTTTCATTATAGTGTCACTTCTGTTTCTCTGCCAGTAGATGGCAGCATAGCTCCTCTTTCAAACAGTCAATGAAATACTACAATCTCTATGTCCTAGTAACGCTGCATATTTATACACTTTCTATTGTGATGGAAGACCGCCTCTTGTGGACCGATTTCACAGGAGTTTCTATTGGGACTAAAGAAAACGTTATAGATATCCCAACATTATTTTTTTAAACTTTATTTAAGACAACAAAACCGACACACATGGGCTGAGTGGAGAGTGCCTCTCAGCAAGGGTTCTGGGTTCGAACCCCGGTCGGACCAGGGCCTTTCTGAGTGGAGTCTGCGTAGGTTTCCTCCGGGTACTCCGGTTTCCCCTACCACTAAAAACATGTGCAATAGGTCTGTGCCTCCTGTACTGGACCCTCCCATCTCTGTGTGGTATACCGGACGGTATATAAATAAAGATTACTACTACTTACATCAACATTCAACAAGAACAACACACCAAAGTAATACAAATATAAAACAATACTAATAATAACAGACAAACGCACACTGTAAACAAACTGAGAAGATTAGATGCTAAATTTAGACTCCAAGGGTGTGTGGCTGTGTGTGTGTGGCTGTGTGTGTGTGGCTGTGTGTGTGTGGGTGTGTGTGTGTGTGTGGGTGTGTGGGTGTATGTGTGGGTGCTGTGGGTGCGTGTGTGGGTGTGTGTGTGTGTGTGGGTGTGTGGGTGTATGTGTGGGTGCTGTGGGTGCGTGTGTGGCTGTGTGTGTGTGGGTGTGTGGGTGTATGTGTGGGTGCTGTGTGTGGGTGTGTGTGTGGGTGCTGTGTGTGTGTGGGTGTGTGTGGGTGCTGTGGGTGCGTGTGTGGGTGTGTGTGTGTGGGTGCGTGTGTGGGTGTGTGTGTGTGGGTGCGTGTGTGGCTGTGTGTGTGTGGGTATGGCTGTGGGTGTGTGGCTGTGTGTGTGGCTGTGTGTGTGGCTGTGGGTGTGTGTGTGTGTGTGTGTGTGTGTGTGTGTGTGTGTGTGTGTGTGTGGGTGCTGTGGGTGTGTGGGTGCTGTGTGGGTGCTGTGGGTGCTGTGTGTGTGTGTGGGTGCTGTGGGTGGGTGGGTGCTGTGGGTGCACGTGTGGGTGCTGTGTGGGTGCTGTGGGTGCTGTGTGTGTGGGTGGGTGCTGTGTGTGCACGTGTGGGTGTGTGTGGGTGCTGTGGGTGGGTGGGTGCTGTGGGTGCACGTGTGGGTGCTGTGTGGGTGCTGTGGGTGCTGTGTGTGTGGGTGGGTGCTGTGGGTGCTGTGTGTGCACGTGTGGGTGCTGTGTGTGCACGTGTGTGTGCACGTGTGGGTGCATGTATGAGTGCATACAGTGGGTGTTGTGGGCTGTGGTGTTTGCGTCATATTTGCTGAACCTCATGATCATGAGTTTTCTAGTCTGAGCTTCTTCTAAGTGAGACCTTCCTCACTTTCCACCATAACTACTGTTTTATTAATGTATTTATTATTATATATATTTCAATTTTCTTTGCTTCTTTATGGATTTATCTGACCATGTCTTCTATGTGGGCAAATGATTCTCACACTGTTAAAGAAGGTTCCAGGTCAAGGTTTCCAGTCCATTAATGAACAGAATTGGACCAACATCACATCAGACAAAAAGTCTTTAAATACAATAAAAGACTCATTTGTCGTGGTATCTATATATTTTCTCCGGAGTAACTGATGTCCCTTTCCAAACACCCTTTATCTCATCCGGGCCGGTCCCAGCGCTGGTTCTTATCTGGGGCCTTTTTGATCCACTCACCTTCCCTGCATTTGCCTCCTTCTGTGGTGTGTGGATGGTTCTTTGAGACTGTGGAGCTTCCTGTTTTTGTCTGGGTTGTGTGAGTCTGTGGTCAGTTGTGTTGCGGCCACAGCAGAGCTTCATAAATCAGCTGTGTTTCCGCTGTGGACGGGCTGTCAGGGGGACAATGGGCCACAGGAAGAGAGACCTCCCCCTGAAGCCCCCACAGAAAAAACACTTATCTGCTTTTGTGAAAAGAAAATGTGATAATGTGGGAGATTACAATATTATGTCCAGCAAAGAAAAAGGTGGATCACAAACACTTTGCCTGAAATTTCAAACTTTTTCAAATTTTATTAAATTTTTATCCCGTTGCCTTTTTATTGATCACACCCCCTCAGCAGACTCTTATGTACAGTCTATGCTTTTAACCTGTGACTGAGCAGAGCCTGCAGGCTACAGCGCACACAGCAGCACAGATGGTCAGTTGTCCGGACAGTGCAAACAGCAGCAGCACACATGGTCAGTTGTCCGGACAGTGCAAACAGCAGCACACACATGGTCAGTTGTCCGGACAGCGCAAACAGCAGCAGCACACATGGTCAGTTGTCCGGACAGCGCAAACAGCAGCAGCACACATGGTCAGTTGTCCGGACAGCGCAAACAGCAGCAGCACACATGGTCAGTTGTCTGGAGTGGACAGTGCAAACAGCAGCACACACATGGTCAGTTGTCCGGACAGTGCAAACAGCAGCTGCACACATGGTCAGTTGTCCGGACAGTGCAAACAGCAGCTGCACACATGGTCAGTTGTCCGGACAGCGCAAACAGCAGCAGCACACATGGTCAGTTGTCCGGACAGCGCAAACAGCAGCAGCACACATGGTCAGTTGTCCGGACAGTGCAAACAGCAGCAGCACACATGGTCAGTTGTCCGGACAGTGCAAACAGCAGCACACATGGTCAGTTGTCCGGACAGTGCAAACAGCAGCTGCACACATGGTCAGTTGTCCGGACAGCGCAAACAGCAGCTGCACACATGGTCAGTTGTCCGGACAGAGCAAACAGCAGCTGCACACATGGTCAGTTGTGTGGACAGTGCAAACAGCAGCTGCAAACATGGTCAGTTGTGTGGACAGTGCAAACAGCAGCACACATGGTCAGTTGTCCGGACAGTGCAAACAGCAGCTGCAAACATGGTCAGTTGTGTGGACAGTGCAAACAGCAGCAGCACACATGGTCAGTTGTCTGGAGTGGACAGTGCAAACAGCAGCACACATGGTCAGTTGTCCGGACAGTGCAAACAGCAGCAGCACACATGGTCAGTTGTCTGGAGTGGACAGTGCAAACAGCAGCAGCACACATGGTCAGTTGTCCGGACAGCGCAAACAGCAGCTGCACACATGGTCAGTTGTCCGGACAGCGCAAACAGCTGCACACATGGTCAGTTGTCCGGACAGTGCAAACAGCAGCAGCACACATGGTCAGTTGTCTGGAGTGGACAGTGCAAACAGCAGCACACATGGTCAGTTGTCCGGACAGTGCAAACAGCAGCTGCACACATGGTCAGTTGTCCGGACAGCGCAAACAGCAGCTGCAAACATGGTCAGTTGTCCGGACAGCGCAAACAGCAGCAGCACACATGGTCAGTTGTCTGGAGTGGACAGTGCAAACAGCAGCTGCACACATGGTCAGTTGTCCGGACAGCGCAAACAGCAGCAGCACACATGGTCAGTTGTCTGGAGTGGACAGTGCAAACAGCAGCAGCACACATGGTCAGTTGTCCGGACAGTGCAAACAGCAGCTGCACACATGGTCAGTTGTCCGGACAGTGCAAACAGCAGCTGCACACATGGTCAGTTGTCCGGACAGCGCAAACAGCTGCACACATGGTCAGTTGTCCGGACAGTGCAAACAGCAGCAGCACACATGGTCAGTTGTCCGGACAGCGCAAACAGCAGCTGCACACATGGTCAGTTGTCCGGACAGTGCAAACAGCAGCACAGATGGTCAGTTGTCCGGACAGTGCAAACAGCAGCAGCACACATGGTCAGTTGTCCGGACAGCGCAAACAGCAGCACAGATGGTCAGTTGTACGGACAGCGCAAACAGCGGCTGCACACATGGTCAGTTGTGTGGACAGCGCAAACAGCAGCTGCACACATGGTCAGTTGTCCGCACAGTGCAAACAGCAGCAGCACACATGGTCAGTTGTCCGGACAGTGCAAACAGCAGCACACATGGTCAGTTGTCCGGACAGTGCAAACAGCAGCAGCACACATGGTCAGTTGTACAGACAGCGCAAACAGCAGCAGCACACATGGTCAGTTGTCCGGACAGCGCAAACAGCAGCTGCACACATGGTCAGTTGTCCGGACAGCGCAAACAGCAGCTGCACACATGGTCAGTTATCTGGACAGTGCAAACAGCAGCAGCACACATGGTCAGTTGTGTGGACAGCGCAAACAGCAGCTGCACACATGGTCAGTTGTCTGGACAGTGCAAACAGCAGCAGCACACATGGTCAGTTGTCCGGACAGTGCAAACAGCAGCAGCACACATGGTCAGTTGTCCGGACAGCGCAAACAGCAGCTGCAAACATGGTCAGTTGTCTGGACAGCGCAAACAGCTGCAGCACACATGGTCAGTTGTCCGGACAGAGCAAACAGCAGCAGCACACATGGTCAGTTGTCTGGAGTGGACAGTGCAAACAGCAGCAGCACACATGGTCAGTTGTCCGGACAGTGCAAACAGCAGCTGCACACATGGTCAGTTGTCCGGACAGTGCAAACAGCAGCAGTACACATGGTCAGTTGTCTGGAGTGGACAGTGCAAACAGCAGCAGCACACATGGTCAGTTGTCCGGACAGTGCAAACAGCAGCAGCATACATGGTCAGTTGTCCGGACAGTGCAAACAGCAGCAGTACACATGGTCAGTTGTCCGGACAGTACAAACAGCAGCAGCACACATGGTCAGTTGTCCGGACAGCGCAAACAGCGGCTGCACACATGGTCAGTTGTGTGGACAGCGCAAAATGCAGCTGCACACATGGTCAGTTGTCCGGACAGTGCAAACAGCAGCACACATGGTCAGTTGTCCGGACAGTGCAAACAGCAGCAGCACACATGGTCAGTTGTACGGACAGTGCAAACAGCAGCAGCACACATGGTCAGTTGTCCGGACAGTGCAAACAGCAGCACACATGGTCAGTTGTCCGGACAGTGCAAACAGCAGCAGCACACATGGTCAGTTGTACGGACAGTGCAAACAGCAGCAGCACACATGGTCAGTTGTCCGGACATTGCAAACAGCAGCACACATGGTCAGTTGTCCGGACAGTGCAAACAGCAGCAGCACACATGGTCAGTTGTCCGGACAGCGCAAACAGCTGCAGCACACATGGTCAGTTGTCTGGAGTGGACAGTGCAAACAGCAGCAGCACACATGGTCAGTTGTCCGGACAGAGCAAACAGCAGCACACATGGTCAGTTGTCCGGACAGTGCAAACAGCAGCAGCACACATGGTCAGTTGTCCGGACAGAGCAAACAGCAGCACACATGGTCAGTTGTCCGGACAGTGCAAACAGCTGCAGCACACATGGTCAGTTGTCCGGACAGCGCACACAGCAGTACACATGGTCAGTTGTCCGGACAGCGCAAACAGCAGCTGCACACATGGTCAGTTGTCCGGACAGTGCAAACAGCAGCACACATGGTCAGTTGTCCGGACAGTGCAAACAGCAGCACATATGGTCAGTTGTCCGGACAGAGCAAACAGCAGCAGTACACATGGTCAGTTGTCCGGACAGAGCAAACAGCAGCTGCACACATGGTCAGTTGTCCGGACAGTGCAAACAGCAGCACAGATGGTCAGTTGTCCGGACAGTGCAAACAGCAGCTGCACACATGGTCAGTTGTCCGGACAGTGCAAACAGCAGCACAGATGGTCAGTTGTCCGGACAGTGCAAACAGCAGCTGCACACATGGTCAGTTGTCCGGACAGCGCAAACAGCGGCTGCACACATGGTCAGTTGTGTGGACAGCGCAAACAGCAGCTGCACACATGGTCAGTTGTCCGCACAGTGCAAACAGCAGTAGCACACATGGTCAGTTGTCCGGACAGTGCAAACAGCAGCACACATGGTCAGTTGTCCGGACAGTGCAAACAGCAGCAGCACACATGGTCAGTTGTACAGACAGCGCAAACAGCAGCAGCACACATGGTCAGTTGTCCGGACAGCGCAAACAGCAGCTGCACACATGGTCAGTTGTCCGGACAGCGCAAACAGCAGCTGCACACATGGTCAGTTGTCTGGACAGTGCAAACAGCAGCAGCACACATGGTCAGTTGTGTGGACAGCGCAAACAGCAGCTGCACACATGGTCAGTTGTCTGGACAGTGCAAACAGCAGCAGCACACATGGTCAGTTGTCCGGACAGTGCAAACAGCAGCAGCACACATGGTCAGTTGTCCGGACAGCGCAAACAGCAGCTGCAAACATGGTCAGTTGTCCGGACAGAGCAAACAGCAGCACACATGGTCAGTTGTCCGGACAGTGCAAATAGCAGCAGCACACATGGTCAGTTGTCCGGACAGAGCAAACAGCAGCTGCAAACATGGTCAGTTGTCCGGACAGTGCAAACAGCTGCAGCACACATGGTCAGTTGTCCGGACAGAGCAAACAGCAGCAGCACACATGGTCAGTTGTCTGGAGTGGACAGTGCAAACAGCAGCAGCACACATGGTCAGTTGTCCGGACAGTGCAAACAGCAGCTGCACACATGGTCAGTTGTCTGGAGTGGACAGTGCAAACAGCAGCAGCACACATGGTCAGTTGTCCGGACAGAGCAAACAGCAGCAGCACACATGGTCAGTTGTCTGGAGTGGACAGTGCAAACAGCAGCAGCACACATGGTCAGTTGTCCGGACAGTGCAAACAGCAGCTGCATACATGGTCAGTTGTCCGGACAGTGCAAACAGCAGCACAGATGGTCAGTTGTCCGGACAGTGCAAACAGCAGCAGTACACATGGTCAGTTGTCCGGACAGTGCAAACAGCAGCAGTACACATGGTCAGTTGTCCGGACAGTGCAAACAGCAGCAGCACACATGGTCAGTTGTACGGACAGTGCAAACAGCAGCAGCACACATGGTCAGTTGTACGGACAGCGCAAACAGCAGCAGCACACATGGTCAGTTGTCCGGACAGCGCAAACAGCAGCTGCACACATGGTCAGTTGTCCGGACAGAGCAAACAGCAGCACACATGGTCAGTTGTCCGGACAGTGCAAACAGCAGCAGCACACATGGTCAGTTGTCTGGAGTGGACAGTGCAAACAGCAGCAGCACACATGGTCAGTTGTCTGGAGTGGACAGTGCAAACAGCAGCAGCACACATGGTCAGTTGTCCGGACAGCGCAAACAGAAGCTGCACACATGGTCAGTTGTCCGGACAGCGCAAACAGCAGCTGCACACATGGTCAGTTGTCTGGACAGAGCAAACAGCAGCAGCACACATGGTCAGTTGTCCGGACAGCGCAAACAGCAGCAGCACACATGGTCAGTTGTCCGGACAGCGCAAACAGCAGCACACATGGTCAGTTGTCCGGACAGCGCAAACAGCAGCTGCACACATGGTCAGTTGTCCGGACAGCGCAAACAGAAGCTGCACACATGGTCAGTTGTCTGGACAGCGCAAACAGCAGCAGCAAACATGGTCAGTTGTGTGGACAGCGCAAACAGCAGCTGCAAACATGGTCAGTTGTCTGGACAGAGCAAACAGCAGCAGCACACATGGTCAGTTGTCCGGACAGAGCAAACAGCAGCACACATGGTCAGTTGTCCGGACAGCGCAAACAGCAGCTGCACACATGGTCAGTTGTCCGGACAGCGCAAACAGAAGCTGCACACATGGTCAGTTGTCTGGACAGCGCAAACAGCAGCAGCAAACATGGTCAGTTGTGTGGACAGCGCAAACAGCAGCTGCACACATGGTCAGTTGTCCGGACAGCGCAAACAGAAGCTGCACACATGGTCAGTTGTCTGGACAGCGCAAACAGCAGCAGCAAACATGGTCAGTTGTGTGGACAGCGCAAACAGCAGCTGCAAACATGGTCAGTTGTCTGGACAGAGCAAACAGCAGCAGCACACATGGTCAGTTGTCTGGAGTGGACAGTGCAAACAGCAGCAGCACACATGGTCAGTTGTCCGGACAGAGCAAACAGCAGCACACATGGTCAGTTGTGTGGACAGTGCAAACAGCAGCACTGGTCAGTTGTCCGGACAGTGCAAACAGCAGCACACATGGTCAGTTGTCCGGACAGTGCAAACAGCAGCACACATGGTCAGTTGTCCGGACAGTGCAAACAGCAGCAGCACACATGGTCAGTTGTCTGGAGTGGACAGTGCAAACAGCAGCAGCACACATGGTCAGTTGTCCGGACAGAGCAAACAGCAGCACACATGGTCAGTTGTGTGGACAGTGCAAACAGCAGCACTGGTCAGTTGTCCGGACAGTGCAAACAGCAGCACACATGGTCAGTTGTCCGGACAGTGCAAACAGCAGCACACATGGTCAGTTGTCCGGACAGTGCAAACAGCAGCACAGATGGTCAGTTGTCCGGACAGTGCAAACAGCAGCTGCACACATGGTCAGTTGTCCGGACAGTGCAAACAGCAGTACGGGTCAGTTGTCCGGACAGGTGGAGGCTGGGTCCAGGCGGAGGAGTCTGTGTTTCCATTGTTTGCATTCTTGTGACTCCTCCGCGGCTCCTTTCCTCTGTCCCGGGCCGGCTCTGCACAGGATACACCCGCCGCCATCTTTCTCTTCAGCCTGTTATTCTCATTTTTGGGCCAAACATTGTTTTTGAGCACAGGAAATACAATCTTTCAGTGAACTTTCCTCTTGTTTGCTCTGTGATAGTGATGGGACTAGTTTGATTTAGATTCCTTAAACCAACACATACTTATGAAGATGTTATTTCACATTGTGCACAACAATGACACTGACATTTCCCCACTGAGGGTCAAAGGTTATTTTATTCTAAAACATGAAATGAAGTAAACAATCTTAGCATAACTTTTAATGGCCAAAAATAATGCAAACTATTACTTTGAAGAGACCTGCCATAGAAGTCTACCTTCGCATTCTTTTACATTTTGGTTGAGAGTAAAGTATATTTATTGTCCTCATAGGGAAATGTGCCTTCTGCATTTGACCCAAAACCTGTGTCAGGAAGATGCATGATGGGAAAAACTGGAGCACAAAAGTTATTTGAACATTACTAATATTCCTAATGTTACTAATATTAATTCAATAAAATGATTTTGCATCTCACTACAAAAAATGATCTTGAGATGTTATAGAGAGCCACATGACAGACGTCAGCAGACTCAGGCAGAATCCTGCAGACAAATCTAACAAATCTAACAAATCTAACAAATTTAACAAATCTAACAAATCTAACAAATCTAACAAATCTAACAAATTTAACAAATTTAATAAATCTAACAAATTTAACAAATTTAACAAATTTAATGGACCAGAAAAATTAAAACAATACATTTGAAAATCTGGAAACATATATTTTTTAAATGCACCATTTAAAACAAAATGTTCATGGAGGTAGTGTTATACCAACAAAGACAGAGCATTCTCATGGCTAACCAGAAAGGATTCATTAACTTAGAAGCATAGCTAACCAGCATGAGTTTGTGAACATAGAAGCATGAGATAAGTTAAGACACTTTTCCCTGGAAAGACCAGAAATCACACATATTTGGGTTTCAAAATAATGAACAAAAACTCTGAAAACTAAATATTAAAACAAGGAGTGATACTGTGCACCTCTGCTGCTGTCGTGCACAGAGGAAACGGGAGCATGTGTGGCCGGATACAGAGGAAGTGACTCTTTCATAAAGCTCTGTCTCAGCTCAGAGCAGAGCAGACCACAACAGAACCACAACAGCACCACAACAGAACCACAACAGCACCAGAACAGAACCACAACAGCACCAGAACAGCACCAGAACAGAACCAGAACAGAACCACAACAGAACCAGAACAGAACCACAACAGTACCATCTGCAGAACACACCTTTTCATCTCGGCCCAGTCTCCGTTTCTTCACTTGGCCGCCCGCTGACATGTACAGTTCCAGTTTCTCTCAGGCCAAGCTGGGCCTGGACGGCAAAGGTGGACCACTGCACCGCTCTCGGGGGAAGAGCTGTGGTTATTATGTCAAGCTGGTCTTCTTCTTCTCCTCGCTCATCCAGTCGCTCATCATCGTCAGCCTGGTGCTTTTCCTGGTGTATGGACAACCAGAGAAGAGTGCAGAGGAAAGGAGAGTGCAGGTGAGAGGCTTTCTGATGCCATTAAAGCTGAGGTACCGCACTTTAAAAACCCCAAAGAAATGAGTTTGAGAGGGGCCAATATTGCAGACACCTATTGTCTTTTAATGTCTTTAAAAATATATCTATAGGTATATCTGTCACCGTAAAACAACCCAAAGTCACTTAACGGCCGGACCATATTAGATTACCGCATGAATTATTCAAAAAGCCTAAAAAGGCTTCATAGAAGATGTTAAAGTATCAATAAAATGGAACAACACCTGTTGGTGCAGGAGTGTGGTCTATAAATGCTTGTTTACTTCCAAACTATTAAAAGTCAGATTATGATTGTTAAATAGTTTGAGAGGGCTAATGAAACCAAACGTGGTCATAATGAACCTTCTGTGCCAAAGAAGACACGCCCAACTCAGATGCATGAGGAAAGGCTCGTGCTGTGGGGATGTATCGCTGCACGATCATGAACAAACCATGAATATCACGAAGAAGGACAAATATGTGGAAATATTGAAGCAATAACATCAGTAAAAAAGTCATATTGGGTGGAAATGGACAATGACTTAAGCTTATTACAAAGTCAGGGCTTTGTTTTAGATCTCCAAGCACTGATCATAATATTATTAGGGCTGTCAAACAATTACAATTTCTAATCGAGTTAATTACAGCATAACAATTAATTAATCGCATTTCGAACTGTCAGTAAATGCCATATTTTTCTGTAAATGGTTTTTATAATGGAACAATAAAAACATAGTGTACATATGTACCATACTTGTTTATTAAAACAATAAATCCATATAAAATGGCATTAACATGATTAACATTCTGTGTTTCTGTTTAGACTCAGACCAAACTATTGTTACAGATGAAGTCTGAAATACAGAATATCATCAAATCTGTTTGATATAATGCTCACAACATTTTTAACTTTTGGGCACAACCAACATGAACTGTGGAAGGGAAATTAGGTACCCCAGCTTTAATTTAGCAAGTTTAGTTGTGCTTCAGGACGAGACACGGAGAAGACACACACACAACACGCAGAGAATAGTTGTGTGTCTATGGTCCTGTGTGAGTGTTGGATGTGACTCACTGCAGCTGCAGCTGCTGTCCAGAGAGTGTGTGTGTGTGTGTGTGTGTGTGTCTGTGTGTGTGTGTGTCTGTGTGTGTCTGTCTGTCTGTTTGTGTGTGTGTCTGTGTTTGTGTCTGTGTGTCTGTGTGTGTGTCTGTGTGAGTGTGTCAGTGTGAGTGTGTCAGTGTGTGTGTGTCTGTGTGTGTCTGTGTGAGTGGGTCAGTGTGTGTGTGTGTGTGAGCTGCGACCCCTGATTGTAAAGCGCCTTTGTCTGACCTTGGTCTTTGAAATGTGTCATATAAATACAAATGACTGACCTACTTTGTTTTTCTTAACACTGTTTAACTATAATTGTCACATCTTTGTGGTGTTTAACAGGAGCTGGAGCAAAACTTTAACCGACTGGAGGAGATCAACATAGCTCTGCGGAAGGACAAGGCTGACCTGGGGGCTCAGCTCGGAGCCAAGGCCGCGGAGAAGGCGGCTGTACAGAAGGACCTAGAGGCGGCGAAGGCTGCGGCCAACGCCACGGAGACAGAGCTCAGGAAGAAGCAGGCCAGTGCACACACACACACAACACAGAGACACACACACACACACCCACACACATACACAATGGCTGAACAGCGCAGGCCTCTCCTGGGCGGAGGGGGCACGCAGCATTCATACACAATGGCAGGTGGTGTGTCAGGGCCGTAAAGCGTCTTACTCCTTTGATATCTAGTCAGTTTATAATTCATTACTATCAGGCATGAAAAGCTTATCATTAAAGCATAATAACTTACCGTCATTGGCAGTGATGGGAATGTTACTTTTTTCAGTAACAAGTAATCTAACTAATTACTTTGACTGTAACTATAACGCCGTTATCATTGTCGGACGGACTGACAACCAATGCATAGCAACCCCAAGTGAGCTAAACCAAGTGTTAGTGAACTGTTGGTATTTGTCCTTTATAACAAATGAACATATGAAATGAAAATACAGGGCCCCCTTGAACCTTTCAACATGTCGCCACATTTCAGGCTTCAAACATAAAGATATAAAATTTCAATATTTTTAGTCATGAATCAACAACAAGTGGGACACAATCGTGAAGTGGAACGAAATTTATTGGATCATTTTAACTTTTTTAACAAATAAATAACTGAATAGTGGGGCGTGCAATATTATTTGGCCCCTTTACTTTCAGTGCAGCAAACTCAGTCCAGAAGTTCAGTGAGGATCTTTGAATGATCCAATGTTGTCCTAAATGACTGATGATGATAAATAGAATGCACCTGTGTGTAATCAAGTCTCCGTATAAATGCACCTGCTCTTTGATAGTCTCAGGGTTCTGTTTAAAGCACAGAGAGAACCATGAAGACAAAGGAACACACCAGGCAGGTCCGAGATACTGTTGTGGAGAAGTTTAAAGCCGGATTTGGATACAAAAAGATTTCCCAAGCTTTAAACATCTCAAGGAGCACTGTGCAAGCAAATATATTGAAATGGAAGGAGTATCAGACCACTGCAAATCTACCAAGACCTGGCCGTCCCTCCAAACTTTCATCTCAAACAAGGAGAAGACTGATCAGAGATGCAGCCAAGAGGCCCATGATCACTCTGGATGAACTGCAGATAACTACAGCTGAGGTGGGAGAGTCTGTCCATAGGACAACAATCAGTCGTGCACTGCACAAATCTGGCCTTTATGGAAGAGTGGCAAGAAGAAAGCCATTTCTCAAAGATATCCATAAAAGTCTTGTTTAAACTTTGCCACAAGCCACCTGGGAGACACACCAAACATGTGGAAGAAGGTGCTCTGGTCAGATGAAACCAAAATCAAACTTTTTGGCCACAATGCAAAACGATATGTTTGGCGTAAAAGCAACACAGCTCATCACCCTGAACACACCATCCCCACTGTCAAACATGGTGGTGGCAGCATCATGCTTTGGGCCTGCTTTTCTTCAGCAGGGACAGGGAAGATGGCTAAAATTGATGGGAAGATGGATGGAGCCAAATACAGGACCATTCTGGAAGAAAACCTGTTGGAGTCTGCAAAAGACCTGAGACTGGGACGGAGATTTATCTTCCAACAGGACAATGATCCAAAACATAAAGCCAAATCTACAATGGAATGGTTCACAAATAGACGTATCCAGGTGTTAGAATGGCCAAGTCAAAGTCCAGACCTGAATCCAATCGAGAATCTGTGGAAAGAGCTGAAGACTGCTGTTCACAAACGCTCTCCATCCAACCTCACTGAGCTCCAGCTGTTTTGCAAGGAAGAATGGGCAAGAATTCCAGTCTCTCGATGTGCAAAACTGATAGAGACATACCCCAAGCGACTTGCAGCTGTAATTGCAGCAAAAGGTGGCGCTACAAAGTATTAGGGCAAGGGGGCCGAATAATATTGCACGCCCCACTTTTCAGTTTTTTATTTGTTAAAAAAGTTTAAATTATCTAATAAATTTCGTTCCACTTCACGATTGTGTCCCACTTATTGTTGATTCTTGACAAAAAATTAAATTTGTATATCTTTATGTTTGAAGCCTGAAATGTGGCGAAAGGTTCAAGGGGCCGAATACTTTCGCAAGGCACTGTAAAACCGTAGTTAACCTGTTGGTGAAACTTCCAGTTTGCAGTGCAATAAGAGACTATTTTAATTGTGCTGTATTCTAATTTGGATTAAGGACACTTATATTAAACACATAATTTGTTCTTGTAAATTGTTACAGATACTTGATGAATATAATCTAGATCTAATGTTTAGGGGCTAATGAGTACAAACAAAGCTGAATATTTGTCCTTTAGCTTCAGTTAAATGGATTTACTCACATGGGATCATTTATTATCGTTTCTCCTCCAACAAAAACAAACCAGTTGTGCGTCGACTGCATTACACTGCATGATGGCTTCCTCTGGCATTGTTGCTGCTTTCCTATGGGCCGTCAGTGCCGTAAAACTAATGCTGATGCCACCGTTCATCTTCCTGAATCTGTTCTGCTCTAACTCCACAGGACCTCTGTGAGAAACAGCTGATATCGACCCGAAACATGCTGGGACGCTGCAGCACCACGCCCGTGCAGCCGCAGCTTCTCTTCAACCCGCAGAGCAGTGAGTCTGCACGAGCTTCTGTCTGATTATTATCATAGAGTTAGAGGGTTTCGTTGCTGATGCAGGAGGACACTCAACATTTATGGACGTTGGTCATCTGTGTTATCTGTGTTATCTGTATCATTGCTATCCTTTCTTAAGCTTGAACTGTTTGATTCACTGATCTGTGTGTAAAGTCCTCCAGGACTAAAGCAAGACTTAATCAGGACTGATCCAAGCCTAAACCCAACTATCTGATCCAAGACGTCTAAGGCAGGACTGAGGCAGGACTGAGGCAGGACTGAGGCAGGACTGAAGGCATCAGAATAAATGTAGGAGAATAGAAATTGTAAAGCCTCGATGATTAAACAACGGTGGACATCCTTTTAGATTTTTTTTTTCTGATTCATGTTTATTTTGAAGTCCTGCTTTTAATCGATCCATGTGCTTTACTTCGGCACTGCACTGGTGTTTTCTGGCATATTGTGGACTAAGTCTTTATCTTGGGACAAACTACATGTGCTATGAAAAATAAAACACCTTGATTCTTTACTCTGCACAGTACAGTTTTGATAAGATTTGTATATTTACAATCCCATATATAGTCTGTTATACAGAGTTATCCACACAGAAGAGGATATAGTCTGTTATACAGAGTGTCAGGCTCTCCATGTCATCACCATGAGAGCTGCAGACCATGTCCCAGTCTGTGCTTTGGACACAGTCTCTCAGCCTCTCCTCTGCCTCTTTACTCCACACTGTAACACACTTCTTCTGTAGCTGGTTGTCGTCTCACCATGGGTGTGTATTCCGGAGACAACGAGACTAGTGAGCGGTCAGAGTGTCCAAGCGGGGGAGGGGGGAGGAGGCGTAAGGGTCTTGGACATTAGCATACAGTAAGTCCAGAGTCTTATTGTTACTGTTTGAATGTCGGGAGAGTGGCAGAGAGGGTGGCGTGGTTAAAGTCTCCGCTGATCAGGATCAGAGCGCGGGGAGCTGTGGATGTGCTCACATGCTACAGCAGCGTCCGCTGACGGAGGGATGTACATAGAACCACTGTGTTCGAAAACTCCCGCGGCAAATATCTGGGCCTCATGCTCACTGTTAGTAGCTCCAAGTCCCGGTTGCAGATCCGTTTAGTCACGTAAACATGAACCACAACTCCCCCGTCCTTCTTCTTTCCACTCCACACTCCGGTCTGCACGCATCAGTTTAAATCCCTTCAGAGTGACCACAGAGTCCAGTATATTCCCACACAGCCACGTTTCAGAGAAACACATGAGTCCACATTGTCTGTATTCCCTCTGATGGCGGGCCAGTGCTGGCAGCTCCTCGGTCAGAGATGGACCGTATGTTTCCCATAATGATGGAGGCGAGGTACAGTCTCCTCTTCTTCTTGCGGCCTCCTCTGGAGCCTCTGCGTCTCCTGCCGATCCCCACGGGGATCACCGGCTTCTCAGAGAGCAGGAAAGAGGAGTCTCTGAGTCCGAGAAGCTGCTCCCGGGTGTACACAATGGCACATATGGGACGTGTGGCGTTGTGAGCGGGGGGATCCAAAAGTGCAGAAAACATGGTTAATCCAGTAAAAAGTCTGACAAGACTAGACTTCCCGTGTGCACTAATGCACAATGTAACGCCTACTTTAAAGAAAAATAATAAAGAAGCACATCTACAAGTAAAAAAATGAGAGAAAAGGTCGGACAGAGGAGAGAGCCGAGGTGAGCAGCTGCACAGCGGGGGCTGGCGTCGGAAGTAGAATGTTGACAGTTGGCAGGTCCACATTGAGAGAGGGATTCTCTCCACATGGACGAACGGGCTGTAGACCTAAGAACGAGGACCAAGGCCACGCAGCGGTTGTAGAATGAGGACAGGTGAACTCCCAGGTGGGCAGCGGGTGCAGCTCACAAGGCGGATTGGCAGGGCAGTCAGCAGGTGCAAATGGAGGGGGTCTGGTTCAGGGGTCCCGTCGCTGTGCCATGAAACAGACAGTAGGACAACGGGGGAATAGCAATGAACAGACAACAGTCAAAATCCTAAAGGAGGAAAGGTTGTGCTGGAGCTTGGATGCTAGCTGCGGTCCAATGTTGACAAAATAGTACTTTAATACATTGATGATATTATCTTTGTTGATAATTTTCTTGCACTGTAGGTGAGCTAAAGACCCTGCAGAGCCTGAATGCCCAGCAGAAGGCCATGATACACCTGATTCAGGCCAACTTCACTCAGATGGTGCAGTACCTGAGCCAGGAGCGGGACGAGGCCACCAAAGACAGGGACACCCACCACCAGGACGCCATCGCCAGGAGGAGGGAGAACAGCCTGCTGAAGGAGCAGCTCACCGTCTACGCCCGGTTTGTTTACGCTGCTCTCACAGGAACCACAGCCATGCAGCAACAGTGTCTCAAAGTCTTCAACTGCCATGACTGTATTCAATCTATTGAGCGCATCTGAACGTATATAAACCAGGGAAGAAGGGGGAGACAGTGGATGGATGGAGCTCTTTAGTTCAGCAGCAGAGGTGGTGCAGCCGCTGGGTGGAGCAGAACAGGTCACAGCAGCAGAGGTAGTGCAGCCGCTGGGTGGAGCAGGAGAGGTCACAGCAGCAGAGGTGGAGTAGCCTCTGGGTGGAGGAGGACGGGTCACAGGACAATAATAATGCATTGGGGGTTTTTTGTACTTTTTGGACACTCAAAGATGTTTCAATTGCTCCGTACACGGTGGTGATAAAATACGGCTGTAGCCACAGCTGCTCTGGGGCACACTGACAGAAGCGAGGCAACCAACATTTACCAAAGTAACTCTAGGCCATGTGGGTGTACTGTCTTGCCTAAGGACACAACAACAGTTTCAGACTTGACACCCCACTGTGGCACCTGTATTCCCAGAGGTCTCCTGTCACAGTGCTGTATAGCCCTGCTTGTTTCAGAGGTCTGACGAGATACTGTATGTATTGTATATACAGTATATATATATATATATATATATATACACGTGTATATATACTGTATGTATATGCCCCCCCACATTGGCCGGCGGTCGGAGGTGCTCATCCCAAGAAAAAAGTTCTGTTTTTTACACAAAGCACGGAACACAAAGAAACTGTGTGTTATTGCTCTCTGCTGTTTCTTGCTGCACACAGCGCCGCAAATGGCGAAGTGGCTCGCTCTCTGCCAAAACAATTTCCAAGTGGTAACTTTTGTTTGTTACTTACGTGGCAATAAAAATGATTCTGATTCTGATATATGTAGATATCTATATTGTAGATTCCATCCTATAACTGCATGTGTTTGTTCTGTAGGAAGTGTAAGGAGGACTTTGCTCAGTCCTTGTCCGGGATCAAGACCGTGACCAGTGAGTTCCTGAAGAAGATCACCAGCCTGTTCCCACACCAGCTGACCTTCCACCTGTCCTGCTCCAGCCAGGCCGAGCAGATGGAGAAGATCCGCAACAGCTGCACCAACCTCTCCAACGACGTGGAGAACAAGTTCCAGATCTACCTGGACCACGTGGGCGACAAGGTGAGAGCCTCAGGAACACAAGCACAACAATACAACTGTTAATACAACTGTTAATACAACTGTTAATACAACTGTTTAACTGTTTTTTTGGAGGGGGGTTCATTTACTGAACTTGTGTATGGCTAAAGGGAGAAAATGAGGCGAATGAAATTTTTTTTCTGCATTTATCAATCTGGAAGTGAGAGTATGGTACGCACAAGATAAACGCTGGAGGTGGCGTAAATATATACATTTATTATATGACTTGGACAGCACGTGCGCTCTGATTACCGGTCTGATATTTTCCCATCTCGGACCGTTACCATGACAATCTGTCCGCAGCTCGTATCACACAAAACCAAGTCGGACATGAACATACTTCACAAATATCTCAAAAGCATTGGTAAAGACACAGACGAGAGTCATATAATAAAACATTTATTAACCACGCTTGCTCGGTTAATAAGCCGTTAATATACGTTACCGACTGATTTTACCACAAAACCACAAAATTCAGTTTAAAAAATATGAAATCAACATTTCAGATCAACAACACACAAAAATAATTTTCACATTTGAACTGTTCCAGTTGTCCTCATGAAGAGTGTGATTCCATCAGTCGTTCTTCTTGGATGTATTTTATAACATGGTTTTTGATCCATATTGAGATCTACTAAATGTATAATAATTATGTCATAAATCCTGCTTCTGTCACAGACTTCTCTTCAGCAGTGGAATGTTCCGAGCCGTGTTCTGTAAAGGAAGTGTGTCGTGAGGACAAGGAAATTCAGATTGTCTAATCCTTGATAAATGAAGAGAAATGATTCCTGTGAGGCCAAAACACTAGAGCTGTTCTGCTGACACAGCATCAAGAAGCACGCGACACCTTTAACCTGAGCGTCAAACTGGAGTCATCTCCTTTAGGGTGGAGAGACTTAAAAGTTTTTTAAAGTTTAAATGGTTCATAAACCATAATCCAAACATTTGTGCTGTCCTCATGAATTAGGATTAAGAGATCCTTTATTCGTCCCAAGAATAGCATTTGATGCATCACCACCTAAAGAACAGTAGGAACGAGGAGAACAAGATATGTGAACAATAACTCTACCAAAATACTACTATACTTCTAGCTTAATGAAGTATAAAATCTGTCTAATATATCTAAATTCAGCATAAAAGAGAAGCTGCACGGTGTCAAGGGAACAGCCCAGGACAGTTTCTGTCTCTCTGTGATTGATGCTCCTGCAGAACAAGAGGCTCCTCAGCAGGTAGAGCCTCCTCAGCAGGTAGAGCCTCCTCAGCAGGTAGAGCTTCCTCAGCAGGTTGAGCCTCCTCAGCAGGTAGAGCTTCCTCAGCAGGTAGAGCCTCCTCAGCAAGTAGAGCCTCCTCAGCAGGTAGAGCCTCCTCAGCAGGTAGAGCCTCCTCAGCAGGTAGAGCTTCCTCAGCAGGTTGAGCCTCCTCAGCAAGTAGAGCCTCCTCAGCAGGTAGAGCCTCCTCAGCAGGTAGAGCCTCCTCAGCAGGTAGAGCTTCCTCAGCAGGTTGAGCCTCCTCAGCAAGTAGAGCCTCCTCAGCAGGTAGAGCCTCCTCAGCAGGTAGAGCCTCCTCAGCAGGTAGAGCTTCCTCAGCAGGTTGAGCCTCCTCAGCAGGTAGAGCCTCCTCAGCAGGTAGAGCCTCCTCAGCAGGTAGAACCTCCTCAGCAGGTAGAGCCTCCTCAGCAGGTAGAGCTTCCTCAGCAGGTTGAGCCTCCTCAGCAGGTAGAGCCTCCTCAGCAGGTAGAGCCTCCTCAGCAGGTAGAGCCTCCTCAGCAGGTAGAGCTTCCTCAGCAGGTAGAGCCTCCTCAGCAGGTTGAGCCTCCTCAGCAGGTAGAGCCTCCTCAGCAGGTAGAGCCTCCTCAGCAGGTAGAGCTTCCTCAGCAGGTAGAGCCTCCTCAGCAGGTAGAGCCTCCTCAGCAGGTAGAGCCTCCTCAGCAGGTAGAACCTCCTCAGCAGGTAGAGCCTCCTCAGCAGGTAGAGCCTCCTCAGCAGGTAGAGCCGACTCTGGCCCTTCTTGAAGAGGGCTCTCTGTAGAAGGAGTCCGGTCCAGTTTGTGGTTCAGATGAACACCCAGGTACACCCATCTCTTTGGTCTTCCCCGTGTTGATGATTGGGGGTTTCACTGACCACAAAGTCCTGTATAACTCCTCTGTACTCTGTGTCATCGTCCTCGGAGCTGAGTCCGATGATGGCAGAGTCGTCAGAGAACTTCTGTAGAACACAACCGTCCGTGTTGTGTCTGAAGTCCGCAGTGTAGAGGGTGAAGAGGAACGGCGCGAGGACTGTCCCCTGGGGGGCCCCCACACTGCAGGTCAGGACCTCAGACACAAAGTCCCTGGTTCTCACAAACTGGGGTCTGTCTGTGAGGTAGTCCAGGATCCACTGGGACAGGTTGTGGTCCACACCGGCTGTTTCCAGCTTGTCCTTGAGAAGCCTCGGCTGAATGGTGTTGAAGGCACTGGAGAAATCAAAGAACAGTCGCACAAATCACTTGATATAGTGACCAAGTAAAATTGTTTACATTTTATTATATTTTTCTCACCATGATCTCAGGTGAGGACGGGCCTACCCTGCCTTATCTGACCGCACTGATAATCTTATACACTGTAAAAGCATCTGACTTGAATAAAAACATATATTCAGTAGACATTCTAACAAGCCCCAGGTTGTGCTCATTTATAGGTCTGCCACAAATGAACAAATAACCAGGATATTAAGTATTTGTCTCTTTGTAATTGTTTTATGAATAGTATTGTTGATTGTCGATGCAGGTGGCAGAGATTCAGGCCCGGTCCAGTCATATGGAGGTGATGAATTCCAATCTGAACTCAGACCTGACCAAGTGTGAGACGACTCGGAAGCAGAACGCAGCAGAGGCCATCCAACAACAGGATCTCCACCAGAAGAACCATGACAACCAGGTTTGGCTTCTGTCAAAATATCTCGGGACGGTGGTTTTGGAATTGTTTTGTTATAGTGGAGAAGGCGTGTCATGTTGAACGTTAATACTAAACATAAATAAAACTCATTATGATGGATCGTTTATCATTGGTGGGAGCTGATATGTAAATATCTGAATATTCAATGCATACAGTAAAATTGCAAAGCATTTCTGTCAAAAATACTTGACATGACGTAGGGATCATTTAGATTGGCTCAAGCCATGACTAGAGGATGTCTTGTGGCGTTCAGTATGAAGAGCTGAAACAGCAGTGGTGAGGGGAGATGTGGCAGCTGTGGTGGAGGCTGCCATGTTCATTCACTGGACCCAAATACAGTGAATTATGAATCTTGTTAAAATCGTGCTATTGTTAAAGCAATTATGTTTCCCAAATTAGTCTAGTTTAACTTTGAACCTTTTTTATGCAATGGTAATTCTGTGTGTCAGTGACAGGGGTAAAATGGAGCCTATTTAGACTCATGTGCGGCATGTGTGTGAAGGTGGAGCGCTTACTGATGGAGCAGAACCGACTGCGAGACCAGAAGAAGCTCCAGGAGGACAGCCTGGCTTTGAAGACCAGTGAGCTGGACACTGTCAAGAGCATGCTGGCCAACTGCAAGGTCAGGCTGGGAAAGGGATTCAATTCAGGATTTCACTCAAACTGTTATCAATAGTTACGTAGAACCTTTTTTTCCCCGTCGAGGTGTAAGTGCTTTTGTATTACTACTGTTTTAGCTTGGAAGAAGAAACCAGAAACATTTCAACAATTGAAAGCCAAACCATAATTCTAAGATGTAAGAATAACGTTCTTGCTTCTTTTGAAGGATGTATTGGCAGATATAGGTGTTAAGAACACAGCTGCAGCCACTGCCAGAGAGCAGCTGTATGAATTAACCATGAAGCCATTCCTAATGACTGGAGAGGGACACATTCTGCAAAATCACCATTCATTATTCCTCATCAAAACACAGACCTACAGTTGTTTTTCATTTTCAGGATGTCCAATTGTTTCTGTCGTCGGACCAACATTAGTACTTGCCTTGGAGAGGGCCAAACATGATCACATCTTTTTTTACTCACTGAAACCAAGCCATAATGTTAGAATGCAATTTCATGATGTCCACTGAATGTCCCGCTGCATTCAAGAGGAATTAACTCTGTATGAAATAATCTATTTACACAAAGCAGAATGATTAAATCGACCCATGTTGTGGTCTATTGGTTTTGTCTTGTTTGGTAAAGTATATGCAGGTCATATTCATTCAAATAGAGGGTCATTATAAATGTGGCCAGTCCTTGGAATGGTCAGGATTCATCAGCAGGAGTAACGCAGACAATCATGATTATCAGATGTACGAGGAGGAAGAGTGGTCAGACTGAGGCCAGCAGAGGCCAAATGTTCTGTACACACTGTTAACACTGTGCTGCTGTGTCCTCAGCCCAAGACCGGAGGACCCCTGGCTCCAGCACAGAACAAACCAAACTGGACTTCCAATGGGAAGACGCCCACGGTGGGACACACACACACAGACACACACACAGAGACACACACACACACACACACAGACACACACACACACACACACACACACACACAGACACACACACACACACACACAGACACACACACAGACACACACACAGACACACACGCACACACATACACAGACACAGACACATACACATACACAGACACAGACACACACACAGACACACACACACAGACACACACACAGACACACACACACAGACACACACACATACACAGACACACACACACAGACACACACACACATACACAGACACACACACACACATACACACACACACACACACACACACAGACACACACACAGACACACACACTCACACTTGTAAGATGGATTCTATGAATCTTAGAGGGAGGGGTTTATGTTGACCACATGAACAGACATCAGGCTTGGGCAGCGCAGGCGTCCCCCTCACTCACATCATTGAAGAAGTGACTTTATACCATTTACAAACACCGGGGCGGGGTTGAAGAGGTATTTGGAGGTATTTGCGCTTGCTTCATCACTTGTCCTAAAGTGGCGACTGATCATGAGTCTTGGCCCGCTTTGGCGGCGGCAGACCCCATACCATATTTTAGTGCATTCCTAAGGGTCTGTACTTAGCTCTTAAACCTTAAGAAGAGGGTGGTTCCTCTGAATAAACAGGAACTAGGTATCACTGGGACTGGTATGTGTGAAAATGCCAAAGTTTGTGATAAAAAACACATTCCAATGGTTGCACAAAAACTCACACAAATGATTATAATCGTTTGGATTGAGAGAGAAAGCTTTTCTTTTGCAGGTGCGATGAGACGCCTCCGTGTGCCATCCTGCTCTTCATCTTCAGAGGACATGGAACTTATGCACTTCAAACTGTGAAAACTGCTGAGAATGTATTAGAAAAGTCCAAAGTCAACATCATACTGTTTACTACACTGCATCTAATGCTCTGCTAATGGAAATGTGCACAGTAATGAGGCATCGTGTTCAACAAAAAACAAACGACATATTAGACCTACTGAGGAGTCTTTACTTTCTACAATAAAGCGCTTATATTTGATGACACTGACGCTGATGCGGAGCTGACTGAACACCTCCACGTGACAGTAGCGAAAGTTCTAACACCCCTTTCTTCTGCGGTGACACAGGATTCTAGTTTGCAAACACTTTGAATGAACTCTTTTGATAGTTCTTACTGGACTCGTGAATCTAAAACGACCCCTCACCGTCTCGCCTCCAGAGAGTCCTGGGTCTTCGTCCCAAGGAAGCTTCCAAACAGATCCACGGAGGTTCCTGTGGGAAGGACTGGTTCTGGGTAGCATGAGGCAGGATGTATTTGATCAGCCTGGGGCCTCCTAATGCAGTTGTGTGGTGTCCCCATTACATCCTATCCTGGTCCTAGTCCTGGTCCTGGCCTTAGTCCTGGTTCTCCTCCACATGATGATGTAGAGCAAATCAATCATAAGTGAATACAAAGTGGATGAAGATAAGTGGATCATCTGCATGATTAGCAGTGAGTTTGATGCTAAAACAGTTTTACCAAAACTTTTCTTTTCCTGAAAAGCTCTGCATGTTGCATAACGTCTCCTACTAACTCACTGAGTTACATTAAAGTCATGTATAACAGAGTAAATACACAGAGTTGGTGTAAGTCGGTCTCACTCAGGTAACTGTGCACATGGTCAGCACAAACATGTACATAGTTGTGTATTTTACTCTTCACTAAAGGAGCTTTCAGCGCTTTCCTCAGAGCTCTCCTCAGAGTTCTCCTCAGAGCTCTCCTCAGAGCTCTCCTCAGAGTTCTCCTCAGAGTTCTCCTCAGAGTTCTCCTCAGAGTTCTCCACTCTCCTCAGAGTTCTCCTCAGAGTTCTCCTCAGAGTTCTCCTCAGAGTTCTCCGCTCTCCATGGTGTGCAGTGGTCTGTAATCACTAACACTGTAACAGCAACATTTTTATAAACAATATTTTACTGTCATAATTTATCTTTAAGAGCGTAACAAACCCGAGCACAGCTGTTTTGTACGATTGTAGATGTAAATTGTAAACGGCGGAATAAATATTGTTGTTGAAAATCTGTGATCAGTGAATGTTTTGTGTGTTCCTGTTAAAACTATACATGGTTCTTTTGGAATGGTTCAGCTCAGCTCAGCTTTGACGAGCAGCTTCACTCTCGAACAGCTCCCACACAACAGGACTCTTGTTTAAAGGTGCCATATTTGACTTTTCTCTGGTTTAAACATGATTACAGTGCTGTTTGGCCTCATACATAAGCCTTAGCTTTAGTTGGAGCGCTCTTTCTCTTTCATTCTCGAGAGGCACAGAAACGGAAAGTTTAAATCCGTGACTGACAGCGGCGCCGTCTATGGTCAGCGCACTCAGCCTCTCTCAGCCTCGCTCCGCGTCCAGCATGTGGTCCATTGACTGTAAATATGCATCTCTACATTTTTTTTAGTGTTAGCTTCATGTCAACTTGGAGAAAATGTGATTTGGGTGTAAATAAGTGACGTCAAAATTGCGAGTGACGGTGACTTCAGCAAAGACTGTTCCAGCACTACAGTTACCTTGAAACGGGACCTACTCAGAGCTGATCTGGAAACCTGGTGTTATTCCAACATAAAGAGGCTAACAGGAGCCTCGGTGAGTACAGTGATGCTAACTCTCTGTATGTCAGTGTGAACTAAATAATTAGGTCTGATTCTGGATCGAGGACATAGAGCTCTCTGTGACGGAGCCATTGTTGGGGAAAGGTTATCCTCAGGTGTGAAATGACTTTGTAAAAGAGAAAGCTGCTCAGTTATCTTTCCCTGATTGGTTGACCTCAAACTTAGCGTGACATGACGGTGACCGAGGAGCACAGGTCAGCTGACAGCACCTTTATGCACCAAATGGCTGTAATTTGACAGGTTTTGAGTGTTCAAACTATTATCCCACATGTTCATAGGATGGACTGTGAAAAATGAAGAAAAGCTAAATATGGCAACTTAAAATATAAATAAAATCTCACTTCAAACCATTTTCTTGCACACTCTCCTGACAGAAAAACTCCTGAAATAGCTTCATTGTTTCTCTGCTTTAAAGCTGTTCCACAGACGGAGCTGTTGCATTCATGTATTTTCAAAGCTCTTAAAGGGACAGTGATGTTTTAGTGCTTCCTCTTCCTCTCACACACAACCTGCTCCTGCCACAAATACTAAACTATATTTGCACTTTTATAGAATGTATTTAGACATGTAACAATGGTGAAAGAAACACATACCTCTGAAGGTTTCAGTTTTTCAGAGTTGTAGAAAAGTGGAGAGGTTTTTGGAGATTCTGTAATTCATTTCACATCCAGAGCAAGATATGTTTCAACCCACGACAAACAACTGTAACTGTAATCATCAATGTCGCTCTCAAACCACCTCTCAGCTGAAAGAGTCGAATACTGACTCCCAAGGATCCTTGGTGCTGTTTTCAAATGAAATGCATAAGAAGTCTTGTAGAGGAATTGGGCATGTTGTGGTTCGATCTGTTCAATAATTTACAAGATGGCTGATGTGGAAGCAGACGTCTGTGGCTGAGGTGGAAGCAGACGTCTGTGGCTGAATGTGGAAGCAGACGTCTGTGGCTGATGTGGAAGC